GCGGTTCCCCCGCCTAGTACAGCGTTTCGTGGGCCCTGAGGAAGGGAACTCCACGGAAGTCAATACCCACAATTGCGGTACTCACAACTGCACATGGTTGGGTTCTTCACCAGGCTATTTTTTTACGACGCGAGCGTGTCTGGTGGTGGTGATGGACACAGCCTTGCCTCGCCGCATGCGCCTCGAAGAAAAGACAACTGCATCCACACCATTGGATCTACGCTCGAACCCCCCTCTTCTGCGTGCGGAGCGCGCCCGTGGCGGCGCCAGAGGCGCTGCCAGGGGGGCCCAGCGCCGATTCGAGGAACCCGCGCGGGCGAGGCGGGCGGGCGGGCCGTGCCGCGCCGGACGAGGCCTGCGTGGACAGCCTGCCGGACGACACGCGCATCACCCCGCCAGGGCCCCTCGGGGGCGAGGCCGCCTCCAAGGAGACGCCCGTCTCGCGCCGCGGGCGGCCGGCCGGCCCTCCTTCTCCTTTCTCCGTTATGTACCCCCCCTTCCCCTCCTCCTCCTCCTCCTCCTCCTCCTCCTCCTCCTCCTCCTCCTCCTCATCCCCTGCTTCTTCTAGCTCGGTCGCGACGTATCCCCTCTCCTCACAGCCCTCCTCCTACACTTCGCTCCTCCTCCTCCTCTCCATCCCCATCCTCAATCCTGCTCCCTTGCAACCAACTCCCACCTATTGCACGCCCAGATTTGTCGCTGGGTGGGGCCGGGCCTTTTGCCTGAGACTTCTTCGCCACTTCTGATCCCGAAGCTTGAACTTTGCAGCAGTTTCAAGGAGGGAGGGCGCCTTAGTTCCGCGCATTGAGTGTGTGTTTTGGAGGCAAACTAGCTTCAAAAACTAAGCTCAAAAAACTCTACTAATACTCTGATTCAACTCTGGCCAGGAACTCTGTTTCATCTCTGATTTTTTGAATTTCTGATTTAATTCTGGTCAAAACTTTGTTTCAACTCCGATTCGGCTCTGTCCCCAGACAGAGCTAAATCAGAGTTAAGCCAGAGTTCCAGACCAGAGCTAATTCAGAGTTTCAGCTAAACCAGAGAGGTTAATCAGAGTTTCAGGCCACAGCCAAATAAGAGTTTCAGCCATACCAGAGAAGAGTTTCAGGCCAGAGCCAAGACAGAGCTGATTCAGGGCACCATCAGAGTTCTGGCAGTCCCGGGCGGAGGGCGCGGGGCGCGCTGCGCAAGTGCGCTTGTCCTCTCTCCTTGCCCATCCTCCCTCCTCCCCTCGCTCTCTCACCTACCTCGTCTGTCCCCTCCTTCCTTCCTCCGCTGCCCTGCGACTTGGGTGCATTCACATTTCGCAGAAATGGAGGCCCGCCAAGTGCTCCACGAGGCTCGGTATGAGTATCCCCTGGAGGCCCTACCTGCCCTTACGATGGCTTGGCAAGACGCTCCTCCCGTGGCCCCACAAGAGCCTCCTCCCAACGTCTTTGTCGATGTTGCCGCCTCCCTGCTCCCGTGCAAGGTGCAGAGGGCAGAAGTATCCATATTGAACCTCTTCTGCGGCAGGCGCCGCGAAGGCGACATCCATTATCATATAGATGCCATGGTTCACGAGGTGGATATCACTACCACGGTCTTATCGCTAGATATTGCCATACACCACATCCTTGGAGATCTTACCCGCACTGCCACAGTGGCGGAATGGACTGAACATATCAGGAGCCGCAGGGTGTGGGTCACAGGGGTGGGGGGCTCCCTGCGAGACTTGGAGTGCTGCAAGGTGGAACGACGGCCCCCCCCGCTTCGCACCCAGCGCTTCATGTGGGGAGTACCGTGGAGCACAAAAGCACAGCAGGCACAACTGCGAGTGGGCAACCTACTTCTCTTCACCATCGCGCAACTCCTGGCCGAGCACGTTCGTGCCGGCACATGCGGCTGGATCGAGCATCCCCCGCCAGCTGTGTGGCGCCCTGAGGCCCCTTCGAGCTTCCACTGGATGCCTCTCCGAGCTCTCGAATCCTGCCGCTCGCTTACACCATCCAGTTTGATCAGTGTATGCACCGTGCTGAAGACCCAGGCTTGCACGGCAAGGCCACGGCTAGGATACTAGCTCTTCGGCTTCCAATTCCCACCTTGCACGGAGTTCTCAAAGCCACGAACAATGGCAAGTGCAACCACGGACCGAAGGCCCATGCAGTCCTGCTGGGCAAGAACGAGGATGGCACTTTCAAAAAGAGTTGTACGAACACGTGCCCACCATCCATGTGCTTGACTATTGCCACCGCTATGAGAGACAGCGTCTTGGACGCCTACCACAACGGACTGGACACACCACCAGAAGAGGATCCCACAACACAGTCGTATGACTTCGCGCGAGTGCGACAGTTCTATGTGCCGTGGTCTGTGTCCCAGCAGTTTTGGGAGGCTCCCGATTATGCCGGCAGCAGGGGTTACAAACGTAAAGTTGATCCAGAGTTGTCGCGTTGGGCTCCTCCTGGCCCGCCTCCTTCCTCCTCCTCCTCCTCCTCCTCCTCCTCATTCTCCTCCTCCTCCTCTGGGCCTCCTTTCTGCCCCCCTGTGGCTCCCGAGGGGTTCCCCGATGAGGCCCCCGAGGAGTGGCCTCCGCCCGAGGATACCTTCGAGGCCGATGAGGAGGCGGCGAGGCACCTGGACCTCGCGGGCGCGGGCCTTGCAACGCCCCCAGCGCCGCCCAGCGGCCCGCTCGCGCCCTCCTCTCCACCTCCCCCCCCGCCGCCTGTGCAGCTTACGCCTGCGCACATGGAGCGCATTCGACATAATCGTGCGGAGGCCAGGGAGCGCAGACGCAAACGCGTTGCGCCTTGGAACTTCCTGGCCATTTTGTGGCCCGAGGGGCAATTCACTTTTTGTTTTTTTTCGGCCCGCCAGCGGGCCCCAGGAGACAACAGAGCACGACCGAACGTCCCAGCCTGCGTCCGACCGACCGCTTCCCTCTCCCTCCCTTGCCCTCCTCCCTCGTTCGCGTCCCTCTTCGCCCCTCCCCCCCCCCTCCTCCTCAGTTTGTCTCCCCCCTCCTCCCCTCATCCCCGCCCTTATCCTCAGCCTTCTCTCCTCCTCCTCTCCCCCCCCTGGCTTAACTGATCTCGTTTCCTCCTTCCTCGATCGCCGTCGCCCTCCACATGCTGTCCCTCCCTTGCCCTCGGCCCCCATTCCACCCTTCGTCCTTTTGTTTCTCCTCCTTTTTTTTCCTCGTCCTCCCCCTCCCCCCCCCCCCGTATCGAGCGTCAGTCTTCGCTCCTCGGCCTCAGTGCCCCGCCTTCGTTCTCGCCCTCGCTTCCGCCCTCGCCCCAGGCCCCGCGCCCAGCCTCGTCTCCGCCCTCGCTCCCGCGCCCGCCCTCGCCCCCGCCCGAGGCCATTTTCGCTTCAGCCCTCTTCCTCGCTTTCGCCTTCGATCCCGTCCTTGCTCTCGCCGTCGTTCCCGCCCTCGTTTCCGCCCTCGTTCCAACCTTCGCTCTCTCCCTCGTTTTCGCCTTCGCCCCCGCCGTCGCTCCCGCCCTCGTTCCCGCCTTCGTCCCCGCCCTCGTTCTCGCCCTCGTTCGCGCCTTCGTCCCCGCCCTCATTCTCGCCCTCGTTTTCGCCGTCGCTCCCGCCCTCGTTCCCGCCCTCGTTCCCGCCCTCGTTCTCGCCCTCGTTCTCGCCCGCGTTCCCGCCTTCGTTCCCGCCTTCGTTCCCGCCCTCGTTGTCGCCATCGGTCCCGCCTTCGTTCCGGCCTCATTCTCGCCTTCGTTTTCGCTGTCGTTCCGTGGCCGCCTGGGGAACCTGGGGGCCGCCGCTGAAATCATATTTGAAACGCAGTTTCGGCCAGACCTCGAACATACCCACACGGATATGATATTAAATCTACCTCTTGCAGACGTGACTCAGAGTTTGGTTCAAAACAGACCCCGAACAGACCTCAAACAAACCTTGCGCAGACTCAAACAGACTTCGAACAGACTTCGCACAGACCTCCCGGAGTTTCCCCGGAGGTTCCCCGGAGCTTCCCCGGAGGTTCCCCGGAAGCGCATAGGGAATTCCCGAGGCGCCAGAAGGAATCCCGGAGGCGCCCACAGGCGGTCCCCCGGGCTCGTTCCCGCCCTCGCTCTTTCCCTCGTTCCCGCCGTCGCTCCCGCCCTCGTTCTCGCCCTCGGTCTCGCCCTCGTTTTCGCCCTCGTTGTCGACGTCGTTCCCGCCGTCGTTCCCGCTTTCGTTCCCGCCGTCGTTCTAGCCCTCGTTCCCGCCCTCGCTCCCACTCTCGTTTTTGCTTTCGTTCTCTCCCTCGTTTTCGCCGTCGCTCCCGCCGTCGCGCCCGCCCTCGTTCCCGCCGTCGCTCCCGCCCTCGTTCTCGCCCTCGTTCGCGCCCTTCGTCCCCGCCCTCGTTCTCGCCTTCGTTTTCGCCCTCGTTCTCGCCCTCGTTCCCGCCTTCGTTCCCGCCCTCGTTCTCGCCCTCATTCTCGCCTTCGTTCTCGCCCTCGTTCTAGCCCATCGCCCCCGCCCCCGTTCCCGCCTCAGTTCCTGCCCTCGCCTCCGCTTTCGTTTTCGCGATCGTTTCTACCCTTGCCCTTTGTCCCCGCCTTCGTTCTGGGCACCTCCCAGGGCGTCTCCCTCGCTCCCGAGCCTTGCGAGAAGTGCGGCGCTTCCCTCTGCGGGCTCGGGTCGGCTTTTTTTCGCCCCAGCTGCCGTTGAACAGTTTTGGTCAGGGCCGCGAAGGCGGGGGGCGCTGCCCCGCCTCAGCTCGCACTATTTGGCAGCTGCCGGCTGGGCCCCCAGCCATGACTTGCCGCTTGGCTTACGCATTCCCCTTGTTGTTCTTGAAGACGCACGCGCACGGGGCCGACCCAGCAGCGTTCTGGGCCGACGCCGCGACATTGGTTTCGGCGGGCCCAGACCAAACCATAATCATACGTACTTCAGATTTCCCAGTCATGCCCAAATCAGACTTGGGCCTTAGGGCCATAATAAAATCAGAGTTCCAGCCATACGTAAATCGGAGTTGGTGCAGACGGCCAGACTTGAATCCGAGTTCCAGCGCAGACCTGAATCAGACCTTCATCAGAGTTTTGGGCCTGAACAGAGAAACGGAGTCTGCCCCCCCAAAAAAACAAAAATGCACGCCCAAGACGCGCACGTTCGTCATGCACATTTGCCACAGTTTCACGAGGGGAGGGCGGGTGGTTTTACGCGATTGTTTTTGGCCTTAGCGCCGCGCGCGTTTGCCTTGAACATGTGCGCCCGTATCAGGGCTTGACGGCGGGTCGTTTTCAACATGTGGTTATCGCCTCAGCCGAGCGCGCGTTTATGTGTGGAGTTTGCAGCAGCTTCAAGGATAGAGGGCTGGCCGTTTCCAATATGTGGCTCCCGCCTCAGCGCCGCTCGCATTTGCCAGAAGGATTTGCAGCAGTTTCAGGGATGGTGCGAGAGGGTGCTTTCAAGATGTTGCTCTCGCCTATGCGCGGCGCGCGCGCTTCTTGCATCAGTTCCGTTCGGGTCGTCCGCGCCGTCGTCGCCCTGATCGTTGTCGTAGTTGTCGCCCTCGTCGTCGTCGTCGTCGCCCTCGCCGCCGCCGTCGTCGTCGTCGTCGTCCTCGCCGTCGTCGTTCTCGAAGACAATGCACGCATCGTCTGAGATTGCTGCGAGGTTTGCTGTTCGGCTTGGTGCGGTGAGTCCGCATGCGAATTGGGTGAAAGTAAGCTTTAGACATGTGAGTTGAGGGTTCGGGGCGCGGTTCATTGTAGGGTGACGAGAGAGGGGGTCAGGCTTCGAATCAAGAGTGCGCGTAGGGTTGGGCGTATTCGTTCGGGTGCGGAGGTTTCGGGTGCGGTTCAGGGTTGCGAATCTTTGGATTTGGTTGCAGAGGCGGCTTCTTTCATAACGTCCTCCGCCCCTTTTGCGTCGCCCGTTCCTGCTCCATTCCTCCCTACGCGCTCGAGCTACTGCGTTTGCTGATTGCATATCCCAGGTACTGCAGGGTCAGTGTGGCGGGTGGTCAGACATTCTCCATTCGATGTCCCGGCGATTCTTATGGTGGGCCCTTGGGTGGGCTTGCTCCTGGGTTTCCATGCCGCTTGCTGTTTGGTCACCATGATGCTCCAATTCGCCGCGGCAAGTGATCGTCTTCCTTCCGTGGCGAACGAGCAAATAAGGTGGAGTCTCTCGAGGATGACGATGGGTGGAGAGATGATGACGGAAATTGATGAGGATGGCGATGATGACGGTGATGATGATGCTGATTCTTGCGACGCTTATGATGACAATTGTGCTGCTGCTGCTGTTGGTGATGATTATGATGCTGATGTTGATGGTGGTGCCGCAGGTGATGCTGCTGGTCATGTTGACAATACTGATGATGATGGTGCGGATGATGATGGCCATGACGATAATGGTAATGCTCATGCTGATAATTCTGATACTGCTGCTGATAATGATGGTGATGATGATGCTGATGATCGTGATGCTGCTCGTTCTGACCATGCTGATGACGAAGAGAATGATGTTAAAATGATGCCGATGATGCGGACGGTGATGATGACGAGGATGGTGCTGACGATGGCGATTTTGATGATGATGCTGATGATGATTTTGACTATCTGATGCTGATGATGGTGGTGGTAGTGGGGATGAGGATGAGGAGGATGAGGATGATGATGCCGATGATGATGGTGATGGTGATGGTGATGGTGATGACGCTGCTGGTTATACTGATGATGATGCTGCTGATGATGGCGGTGACGATGATGATGCTGATGATGATGCTGATGATGATGATGATGTCAACGATGATGATGTTGATTCTGATGATGCTGCTGATGATGACGATGCTGCTGTTGATGATAATGATGTTGATGCTGCTGGTGATGATATGCTGATGCAGGTGATGATGCTGACGATGCTGATGATGATGATGCGGATGCTAGTGATGATGATGATGATGCTGTTGATGCTGATGATGATGATGCTGATGATAACGAGGCTGATGGTATTGATGCTGATGCTGCTGATGATGTTGATGATGCTGATAATGCTGATGATGATGCTGATGCTGGTGATGATACTGATGATGATGCTGATGATGATGATGATGATGATGATGATGATGATGATGCTGATGATGATGAGTATGAGGATGAGGATGATGATGCTGATGATGAGGATGCTGATGATGCTGATGGTGTGTATGAGGAGGAGGAGGAGGAGGAGGAGGCTGAAGAGGATGCCGTCGGGCAGAACGAGGAAGATGAGGAGGAGGAGGAGGAGGAGGAGGGCACGGGGCGATGAGTAGGTGGAGGAGGAGGAGGAGGAGGAGGAGGAAGAGGAGGAGGAGGAGGAGGAGGAGGAGGAGTGGGAGGAGTAGGAGGAGGAGGATGACGGGGATGGCAGGGCACGAGGACGGGCAGGAAGAGGTGGAGAGGGGGACGGAACACGGGAGTAGCACGAGGCGGCGCCGAGCAGACCCCCGCCGCAGGAGCTCGCCGCCACGATAGCCTGCGTGCGCGAGCATGGGGGCACCGAGAAGTGCACCGCACATTTCGAGGCACGCCTTCGGCGCTTGCTTCCGAGGGGTGCTCAGAGGCAACGTTCCAGGGGGACCAGCTCAGGAGGGGAGGCTCGAAGTTAGAGGTTCGGGGGTAGGCTGGAGGCTCGAGGTTCTGCGCGGACTTCGCTATTGGGGGCCGATCGCCGATACATCGCGGATGTATCGCGGATTTTTGGTTGATGATTCCGCCCGAGGTGGTCACCCCCTAACGTTCCCCTTCAGGTGGAGCTCGGCGGTCGGCCAGCGGCGGCGGCTGACGGCGGTAGGGTCTGGCCTGGAGGATGGCGACGAGGAAAGCGACGACGGCGGTTGCGACGCTGAAGCCGACGACGGTGATGTTGACAGAGATGGCGACGATGGTGATGGTCATGATGACGATGACGGCGATGATGTCGATGATGACGTATGGCGTTGAGGATGACGATGCTGTTGTTGATGATGATGATGATGATGATGGTGATGATGGTGATGGTGATGCTGCTGATGATGCTGATGGTGATGATGCTGGTTCTGATGATGATGCTGATGCTGATGGTGGACATGGTGATGACGATGTTTGCGGTAAGCACGAGGAGTATGATGATGATGATGATGCTGCCGGTGATGACGATGATGTTGATGATCCTGATGATGTTGCTGATGATGGTTAATGGTTGATGGCTGGACATCAGTGATTGATGATGATACTTACTATTGTTGATGCTTTTGATGGTGATGCTGCTGATACTGATGATGCTCATGGTGGTGACGCTGATGACCATGATGATGCTGATGCTGATACTGAGGATGATGATGATGATGATGATGATGATGATGATGATGCTGATGATGCTGATGGTGATGTTGATAAGGCTGATGGTGATGGTGATGCGTATTATTGTGGTGATGAGGTTCATGATGATGATTTCGATGCTGATGATTTTGATGATGCTGCTGCTGATGATAATGACGATGGTTGTAGAGGTGTTTGTGACGAGGACTCTCATGCGGCCGCTGGTGGGAATCCGATGACGAGATTTCGGTGAGGCTGATGCTGATAGAGATAATGATGGTGATGGTGACGATGATGATTACGATCATGAATTTGTTGCTGTTCTGTTGCTGTTGCTGTTGTTGGTGTTTTTTGCAGATGATGCTAATGATGCTGGCGATGATGATGATGACGACGATGACGATTCTGATGATGCTGATGCTGAAAAAGACGCTGATGATGACGATGTCGACCAGTGCGACGAGGGCAGCGTCTACGGCGACGACGACCAGGACCAGAGCGGCGATGACCGCTACCGCTAGGGGAACAACATGTCCCCCTGGAAAGGGAGTAGGTAGGAGGATGACGACTGCTGAGGAGGAAGAGGGGGGAGGATGGTTCGAATAAGCGAACACTTCTCAGGGGCAAAGAGGGGATGGGCCCAGGGAGAATGCATCAACCCCCAATCGAAGAACGTGCGGATTCTCTGTTGGTGGCCTATCGCCGGTCTGTCAGCGATGTACTACCGATTCTAAGTCGGATCCCTCTCGAGCTGGTCCCCCTCTAATGTTCCCCGTCATCCCGTCTTTGACTCCCTGCTCCCTTCTTCCCGTTGCTACTGCTTCCTCCGAAGTCCCTCGTGCTCCTCAGTCGGCCTCACAACGGGCAAGGTGCTTCTCGGGGAGGAGGAGGAGGATGACGAGGAGGAGGAGGAGGAGGAGCCCCAAGGGTGGGCCCCTGACCACTTGGGGCCCACGGAGTGCCCAGCGGGGGTCGTGGACGCGGTGGAGCAGCTTGTCTCGGAGTGGAAGGAGGTCTGGCACTCAGGAGAACCCCAGAGGGTCAGCAGCGGAGACCTTCAGGTACCACTAGAGGCCCCTCCACCTGCCCCGACAGCTGAACAAATACGAGTGCTTCTACAGAAATTCAAGAAAGGCAAGGCGATAGGTATCGACGGGTGGAACCCGAAGGTCCTGCAGTTCCTCAGCGACGATGCCTTTTCGGTTTTCGGCCTTTTCCCGTCGGTGATAGAAGTGGAGTTTTTGATCCCAGATCAGTGCGATCTCGCGCTGATCGCGTTCCCCAGGAAGCCAGACGGCGGCTTCAGACCCATCGGCGTGCTAGCGACTTGTATCCGTATCTTGGGGAGGTTACGGAGGGAGGAAGCACAGACGTGGGAGATGGAACGTGCGATGTCGTGCGTGTACGGGGCAAAGGGTAAGAGTTGCGATCGTGCCGTGTGGCAGCAGGCAGCAGACTCGGAGGCAACGGTTTCTGTAGGAGCAAACTCTGCATCGGGGTTGGTCGATTTAGGGACGTGTTACAAGAAGATGCCTCATGATGTTGTGTGGCACGCGTGTCAGAAGCACGAATTCAACCTCAGGAGGGCCCGCCTGCTCCCCAGGGTTACGGAGGCCCCCAGAAAGCTTAAGGTTCGGGAAGTCATGCCGATCGTCATCATCTTGGCACGCAGCATCATTGCCGGTTGCTCCTTTGCAGCGGCCATGCTCATAGTCGTGGTGCAACCTGCTTTGCATTACATGCAGGGGCGTTGGCAGTTTTTTTCACACTCTATGTCATGGTCGATGATATTACGTTGGCAGCAATCGGGTCAGCTCAGCGGGTGCGGGCCTTGCTGGCGAAAACTCTTCCAGATGTGTGCAGGCCGTTTGAACAATTCGGGCTAGTGACCTCGAAATAGAAGTGCCAGCTCATGGCATCATGCCCGGCCTTGGCGGATACGCTGCGCCGAGATTTGCGAGCGTACCGTTTGCTGTCTGCTCTAATGTCAAGAATCTAGGTCACAATTACACCCAGCATCTTCGGAACAACATAGGTAATAATATACTCCAGGTGCGCAAGCTCAGGCGTCGAGCTCATCGGTTTCGTGCGTTGCGACATCACAACAAGGGCTTTTTCCAGGATGTATCGGGCAGGGGGAATTGCAGCATCGACGTACGGGGTAAGAGTGGTGGGGATGACGGACAAGGATTTGAAAAATCAGAGGGCCGTCTTTGCTTTAGCTTTATTCGGAAAGGCGGACGGCCGATCCCGCGCTGTGCACTTCCTTCTAGCGGGCCCACCTGATCTTGATCCATCATACATCGTCAACACACTGTCGTTGTGCACGTGGTGGCAATCATTACATCAGAAGTTGACCCCAGATAATTCTTTACGCTTCGCGTATCCCCACCAGCCCATCTCAAAACAACAACTCTTGCGAAGCATGCCGACATTCGTGTTTTTCAGGCGTGTGTCCGCTTGCCCCCGCATATCTCCCCTGTTCCTCCTTCCTCCCGCCTCCTTGTACATCCTCCTTGTGGTGGGAGCGGGAGAAGGACGAGGCTGAGGAGGAGGGAGAGAAAGCGGTGGGAGGCCAGGGGGCATTTAGCGGAGACGACGACCACAGCGATGATCCTAACAACGACGACGCACCCGACGACGACGACGACGACGATATCGACCGCAACGGCGACGACGACCACAACCGCGACGACGACGACGACGACGACGACGACGACGTCGACGACGACGACGACGACGAAGGCGGCGGCGACGACGACGACGACGACGACGACGACGACGACGACGACGACGACGACGACTGGTGGGAGTCGTTGGGGCCCCTCGTGGTGTGAGTCGTTCGGCCCCATCGTCCTTGTGTGAGTCCTTCGGGCCCCTCTTCCTGGTGTGAGTCGTTCGGGCTCCTCGTGGTGTGAGTCGTTCGGGCCCCTCGTCCTGGTGTGAGCCGTTCGGGCTTCTCGTGGTTCGAGTCGTTCGGGCCTCTCGTCCTGGTGTGAGTCGTTCGGGCCCTTCTTCCTGGTGTGAGTCGTTCGTGCTCTTCGTGGTGTGAGTCGTTCGGGCTCTTCGTCCTGGTGTGAGTCGTTCGGGCTTCTCGTGGTGTGAGTTGTTCGGGCCCCTCGTCCTGGTGTGAGTCGTTCGGGCCTCCTCCTGGTGTGAGTCGTTCGGGCTCCTCGTGGTGTGAGTCGTTCGGGGCCCTCGTCCTGGTGTGAGTCGTTCGCGCTCCTCGTGGTGTGAGTCGTTCGGGCGCCTTGTCCTGGTGTGAGTCGTTCGGGCCCCTTTTGGGGCGTTTTGGGGGCCTCTTGGCGGCCCCATGGGGCTTCTCGGAGCGTCCTGGGTGCCTTGGGGGAGCCTCTTCGGGCCTCTTGGGGGCCTCTTGGAGGCCGTTTGGGGCGTCTTGGGGGCCTCTTGGCGGCTCCAGGGGCTTCCAGGAGCGTCTTGGGTGCCTCGGGGGAGCCTCTTGGGGCCTCTTGGGGGCCTCTTGGGGGCATTTTCGGGGCCTCTTGGAGGCCTCTTGGGGCCTCTTGGGGCTCTTTGGGAGGGGTCTGGGGGGAATCTTGGGGCCATCTGTCGGGCGATCGATCACAGATGGGGCGAGCATTTTTCTCCCCCCCCCCGTCGGGGCCAGAATCCTCGTGAGGGGTGTCGAATTTTAGCCCTCCCAGGAGTCGAAAAAGACCCCTCCAACGACCCGCGAAACGCCCTCTCCAGGCCCAGGGGGAGGGGGGAGGGGGAGGGGTAAACCCCTCCCCGACAGGGAAGAAGGGGGTTGAGAACAGAGCGGGCTCTCTAAACCACTCATGCCCAAAGGGCTGGTGGGATTTGATGTCCCGTATTTTTGAGGCAGCTCTGGATAGCGATACGAAGGGGTGGTCGTCGGTGTTAGGCCCAGCAAGATCAGTTGTGCACACGCTCCGCCGCCTGGGCTGGACGGCCAGTTCGTTTACGCAGTGGCATGGTCGTCGGGGTTCCCCAGTAGATCTCAGAGGTACCGGTATGCCAAATTTGAAGCGGGACGCTCACCGAGGAGTAAGGAAGAAACAGGAGTTAGCGGCAGCAGCACATCATGGGTGGCAAGGTTTTGTTTTTCTTGGATCTGGTACAAGCTGAACTCAGACAGCTTCGAGGTCAGGGGGAGTACGTTCAGGCAGACATCGTTTGTGTGCACATCCCGGGGGGCGTCTTGGACTCATGAGAAACTCGACCAGGAACGTCTCACGATACATC